ATATATATATATATATATTTATTCCTCTATAGAATAATAAAAAAAAAAAAAATAAAATAAAAAACAAATATATATATATATATATATATATATATATATATATATATATATATATATATATATATATATATATATATATATATATATATATATATATATATATATATATATATATATATATATTAGTTTTTTTAATTGTTTTAATTATTTTAATTATTTTAATTATTTTAATTTAATTTTTTTTTCAAATCAATATGTTTACTGTACTGAAAATAACTACATGTAACTGTCGTAAACTATCAATGCGTAGTTATGTTCTTTTTTTTTACCGCATATTTTTAGTCGATCAATTATACACTCACACGAATACTGGCTACAAAAGAAATTTATAAATGCCATCAACACAAATTTACAAATTTCAATATTTATATTACAAATCAACTCATAACCAATAAAATACAAATCGAAAATACATAAATATATGCATATGTAACTACATGTTACTATAGTAATGTATAATAATGTACAATAATGTATACAGTCTGTTGAACAAAGCAGATGCAACTTCAACCAAAAATTTTGACACCTTCAAGGAAAGGATCAATGACATTCATTAAGCTACAGTTGCAATATCAAAACAAAAGAAATTATTTTAGTGCAAATCAACAAAAATTAAAGAAATATTAAAACACTCAAAAAACAACAAACACTAAGAGATCGAGAGATAGAGAAAGAGAGGCCATAGCTGCGAATTTTAGATCAAACCGTCAATGACTCATCACCCCAAGCGCATCATACCAAAACTCTAGCCGTCGCTAAATACCCAAGATTCTGCGCTCATAAATGCAAAAAAATATATAAATAAATCTGAAAATATAAAAATGAATGAAATTTACATTAAAATATAGATCCCGACGAGAGGAATCCAACGGTGGGTAGCCCGTCAAATTCCGACTGACGAAAAACAAATTACACCTCTGGCGGATAAGACAACCGTCGTCGAAATACGCCGACTAAAAAGAATCAGAAACAGATCCAGCACTCCAAACTAAATGAAATAACTACCAAAAGAAAGAGCTCGACGAGAGAAATCCAACGATAGTTGAACCATCGAATTCCAACAACCGGAGAGAGAGTTATGACTCTAGGAAGTAATATCGTCGATTAGAGACCTTGGGGGCTATAGTTTAAAATTGATTTAAAATGGTATTCTGAATATTTCAGAATAAACTAGGGGTATGTCAAATTATTATTCAAATGGAGAAGATTTGCACTAGGGTGTAAATTACATGATAGTTAGTTACATATAAGAAAAGAGAGTCTCTAAAATAATCCCATTATTTGAAAGGATCTAAAACGGACCACTCCATTTTTTTTTTAATATAAAAAATTGGATTTAAATAAGGGGGCAACTATTTTGAATACTAGTTTTTGCTTAGTTGAATACCAAAAAGATAAAAAATAAATAATTAATTGTAAATTACTTTAATACCCTTAATGAAAATTAAAACCAAAAAATATTACAAATACTATTTTTCTTTCTTAAAAACCAAATAATCAAAAACCTAAAAAAAACACTTCCCTCCTCACTCACAAACCCCTCACCTCCTCCACCTCCTTCTTCTCCCTCCCCAAAAACCCTCCTAAAAAACCCCAAAACAAAAGAAATCAAAACCTTACACAACTTGCAAAATGGCCTCAAATGACAATAGAATGGTAGTTTACGAGCAAGGAGAACCCATTCAGGTATGTATTCATGTATTTTTTGAGCTAAAACATCGATTTTGAATTTTTTTTTTTTTAAAACACGCCATGTATTTTCGACACATACAGGTCGAAAATACCCTTATTTTTCGACATGTATGTGTCGAAAATACCCTTTACTATCGACACCTAAGTGTCGAAAGTGAAGGGTATTTTCGACACTTAAGTGTCGAAAATATGGGTAATTTTCGATACTTTTGTGTCGATTTTGTTCCAGTTGCAAATTTACTTGCCTTATATTTTCGACACTTTTGTGTAGATCGATTGCACCCATTCATTTACCACGTCAGAAAAATTCCCAACAAAAGAAGCTTTAATGGCATGGGTTCGTGAAGTATGTAAAATAATTGGAATGGTGTTAATGATTGGGGGTTCGAGTGACGGGGATAGAGGACGTAGGACACCGTATGTGATTGTTCGTTGTGAGCGTGGGGGCCATTATGTTGGCAAGAAGGTACCAGGTGAAGATGATCAAAGACCGGGAAAAAGGAGCACCGGTTCAAAGAAATGCAATTGTCCGTTTAAATTGAAGGGGACAAGAGAACACAAGGATGATGAAAAGGCTGAGTGGAAATTGGATGTTAGTTGTGGTATTCACAACCACAACTTATTCGAAAACTTGCACGGACACTCTTATGCCGGAAGATTATCAAAGGAGGATGTTTCCTTTGTTCACACTATGAAGAAAGCAATGGTGAAACCAAGGGCAATTCTAAGAGCATTGAAGCAAAAGGACCCGTCTAATGTAACTGGTATGAAGACAGTTTACAATACTATCTCTAAGTTAAATTTCAGTGAATTGGATGGGAGATCTCAATTGCAATCATTGTTTGTCAAGTTGAAAGAAGATGAATACCTCTCGTACCATAGATCGAACGAGTTGAATGCGATTACCGACTTGTTTTGGATCCACCCGAAATGCATTAAGTTGGCACAGTCGTATCCGTACGTATTCGTCATCGATTGCACGTACAAGACCAATCGTTACGGACTCCCATTTCTTGAGATTGTGGGTTTTACTTGTACCAACAAGACGTTCTCAATTGCCTTTGCTTACTTGGACCACGAAAAGACGGAAAATTTTGAATGGGCGTTGCGTTGTTTGAAGGAGGCCATGACCAGTTGTCCTCGGCCTAATTGCATTGTAACATATCGAGATTTGGGTTTAATGAAAGTAGTGGCCAATGTGTATCCATCGAGTCATCACTTGCTGTGTCGGTGGCATGTGAACAAGAATATAGTGGCCAATTGTAAGAAATTGTTCCCAAAGGACATCACCAAATGGAAGCAATTTCAGTCGAGTTTTTCGGCTCTTATTGAAAGAAATACCATAGAGGAGTTCAATGAGGATTGGGAGGATTTGAAAAGAACATTTATGGGTTATCTCCCGGCTATAGAGTATGTAGCTAATTCATGGTTGGATCCGTACAAGGAGAGACTTGTATCGGTGTGGACAAATAAGTATACTCATTTTGGAACGTACACTTCTAATAGGGTGGAGGGGGCACACGGACGAATGAAAAGGGATGTGCGTAATTCAACTGGCACATTTGTGGATTTGTATACGAAAGTCCACAATCAAATTGCCGAACAACACAATGACATCAAGGCTTCCTTTGAAGTAAGTAAAAATACTTACGAGCACACTTTCAAAACGTTGATATACAATGAGCTTCGTGGAAGTATCTCAAAATACGCTCTGCAACTACTCAAAGTTGAGGTGGACAATGCGAAACTATTGCAACCGAGCGATATGGGTTGTAGTTGCGCCATCCGAACAACCCACAGTCTACCATGTCGCCATGAACTTCATGAGTATGTTGTTGTGAAGCTCATCGTACAACCGGCAAAGACATGCAGTGCCCCAAGCATACTCGCCGATCCGATCCAAATCAGATACAAGATTTAGGTACTCAACGCTTACCATGTTGCCTGTCTTGTCGCACAGTATAGTACACCCGAGCAAAAATAACAAATACGCCCGAATGGCGTATGTCCTCTTCTCCGCACTATCTCTCATGGTCACTTTGCTAAATTTAGCCTTCAACCATTCCAACTTGACCGCTTTCTTCTTGTTTACATCGTCCGGGTACTCACCTAGCAACTCGAACATCAAAGAACTGGGAATGGTTTTGGAATCACGGACCAAACGCTCGCAAGATACGGTACGCCCAACAACTGGCAAACCGACCAACGTACTCACATCGTCAAGTGTGATGGTCATCTCTCCAACAGGTAAGTGAAATGTGTTGGTAGCTGGCTGCCATCTCTCTACGAAGGCTCTAAGTAGATGGCCGTCCACAGTGTTGTACGATGCCTGTACAACTGACATTAAACCACATCTTTGTACTACCTCTGTAATAAACGGCGCCGGCTCCCAACCTTTCAAGGTTCCTGTGTGATTTCGTATTCGAAATTCTGAGCCGCGCTCCGAACGATCTGGCCCTCCGTTCACAATATGATAAGCAATGTGCTTATCAAATTTTGTGTACAATTCCGGTATCTCGGGACCTAGGACCGGTTCGTTGCTCGAATCACCAACTTGTACAGTCGAATGTAGAGCCGGCACCGGATTCGTTGACGAAGAACCCTCTCCAGACTTCTTCTTGGTCGTGGTCTTTTTCTTGGTCGTGACTGCTATGCCCTTGCCTTTATCGGATAATTCCTTCCTCTTCTTACGGTTCGAGACAGTCGGAGGTAAACGATGTTCACGTGGTTCTTCCACTGCAAAATAACACAAAAATAAAAATTAATATACATAATATAAACACAAGCAAATAAAAATAGAAAAAAAAAAAAAAAAAAAAATCACAGTTCAAATTCGACAGAAACCTGTCGAAAATGGGTTGCATTTTCGACAGAAACCTGTCGAAAATTGGTTGAATTTTCGACATGTCGCTGTCGAAAATGCAACCCACTTTCGACAGGTTTCTGTCGAAAATTACCAAAATCCAAATTCAACAATTTCACCATTTTCGACATCTACATGTCGAATTTGGATGATTTTCGACAACAACCTGTCGAAAATTCATCGAAAATCGACATATACAGGTCGAAAATGGTGAACGAAGAACCGACCCACGAATCTCAAATCAATGCTCAAATCGACTGAAATCAGATGCACCCATTACTAATTAACGATCATTCTAACCTAAAACAACCAAATCCTAATTACCCATATCAAACAATCAAATCTTAAATAAATATTAAAGAAAAAAAAATCGAAACAACTATAACTTACTATTCGAAGACGACGACGGCGGCGGCTTTGGGCGACGTTGGGCGGCGTTCGGCGGTGTTTGGCGTCGGCGTCCGACGGCGGCGATGGTTGGAGCGGCGGCGGCGGCGTCGGGCGGCGTGGACGGAGGGAGGTGGACGGAGGGAGGTTTTTTGTGTTTGAATTTTTTTTTTCTTTTTTTTTATTTGGTTTTCAAATAGGTAATTTCAAAGAAAAATTGATGTAATTAGTATTTTGTATGAAAGGGTATTTTTGTACTTTTATTTTTATTTTGGTATTAAAGTAAGAAAAAACTTAAAAATATGTACTCAATTGTGGTTTTCAACTAGGTAGTATTCAACTAAGCAAAAATTAGTATTCAAAATAGTTGCCCCCTTTAAATAAATGTGAAAAAAAAAGATTTTTTTTTAATATAAAAAATTGGATTTAAATAAATGTGAAAAAAAAGAGTCACCGAAAAAGTCAAAAGTCCAAAGTCTTGCATATCATGTTGACACAGATGGATGAAAATTCAATTCAGTAGTCAGATTTTTCGTGTTTGATTTTTTTCTTGATCATAATAATGTATGGTAGCATGTAGTAAAATGGTGGTTGGCGAAAAATAAATTTTTCCACAGAGATAAAATCTGGTTCGAAAATGGCGCCTTTCTTCTTCTTCTTCTTCTTCACTACATTCCTATGTTCTCTTCTTCTTCTTCCCGCCATCTTTCGGAAATTCTGTGTTGGAATTGATACGCTTTTTCCAGATCAAACGATTGTAGTTGGGCAAACTTTGATTTCCGAATCCCTAGTTTTCGAGCTCGGATTTTTCTCCCCTGGAAAATCCAGAAATTATTTCTTAGGGATTTGGTATAAAAGCACGCCGGAGATCGTAGTCTGGGTTGCGAATCGGAACACCCCTATAACAGAACCACAAGGAGTAGTCTTAACCGTAGTTGGTAATCAAACCCTAGTTATACGCAGGGGCGAAATCGTAATTTGGTCGTCGGAGAATTCTTCATCGGTGGCATCAATTCCGGTGTTACAGCTCTTAGACACTGGGAATTTGGTATTTATCGACATGGCAAGTGGAATTTGGATATGGCAGAGCTTCGATTATCCAACTGACACGTGGCTGCCAGGTATGAAGATGGTGGATGACGTGGAAGCTGGTGCAGAGGCGAGTTTGACGTCGTGGAGAAATTCCGACGATCCTTCTCCGGGAGAGTTTCTCTTCAGGATCGAAAATAATGGTTTGCCGGAGATGGTGGTTTACAGATGGGGGAAAACGAAGGTTTTCCGAACCGGAATTTGGAACGGGCTTTACTTCGGCGGCGTTTTGCCCTTCCCCAATCGACTTTTCAAACCCCAACTTGTTTTCGATGGAGAGAGGCTGATATATGCAGTGGAACCCTATGACAGCTCAATTTCCACTAGAGTGACAATGGAGAAATCCGGTTCGCTGAATCGTTTTACAATGAATTCCAGAAAGGATAAGTGGAATATCGTTTTCGCAAATCCACGAGATCCGTGTGATGAGTATAATCAGTGTGGTCCTTATGGCATCTGCAGAGTCGACAAACCGGTAAGATGCGAGTGTTTTAAGGGTTTTGCACCGAAATCACAAAAAGATTGGGACCATCAAGATTGGTCAGATGGATGCAGTAGAGTTACGCCGTTGAATTGTAATAATGGAGATGGTTTTCTTGAGTTTAGAAGGGTGAAGTATCCTGATATGTTGAAGTTTTTCTTAAACACGGGCATGAGCCTCGATGAATGCCGTGCTCGGTGCTTAAGAAACTGTAATTGCACTGCATATGCTAATCCGTACATAACTAACGAAAGCCATGGATGCTTGTTGTGGTTCGGAGAGCTCGTTGATATTAAAGAAAATCTTGCTGCAGATATTAAGCAAGTCATCTATATTCGATTACCAGCTTCAGAACTAGGTAAGTAATGAGATCTGTTTGTTCTATAATCTGATTTTCAAAAGTCCTGATTATTAGTTGGTGTGTTCGTTTTGTAGATGGTAGCACCGATTTAGAGGAGAAGGAGAAGAAAAGTCCTGCAAAGCTAATAGTGATATCAATTGCTGCCGGAGTTTTTGTCTCGGGCTTTATCAATGGAGGTATACTTTTCATGACAAGACGAAAGACACCAGGTAACAAAAGCTTTGTACTTTTGCAATAGAATTGAACAAAAATCTACGATTCATGTTAAAAACATGCATTTGACGTAGAGCATGAGACATTATTGCTGTTTTTTTAACCCTCACATCAGCAAAAAAGAATGATGGTGATGATCTAGAATTGCCTATATTCAAGCTGGAAACTGTTGTGGCTGCAACAAACAATTTCTCCACAGAAAACATAATTGGAGAAGGAGGATTTGGTTCTGTTTACAGGGTAATGTTTTACATTAGAGTAATGTAAACACAAAAAACAACTGTTTGGCGTCTTGACTCTTATTCTACTATGCATAAAAACAGGGCAATTTGTCAGCAGAAGAAGAAATAGCCGTTAAAAGATTGTCAAGATCTTCAAGTCAGGGTATTGAAGAGTTCAAAAATGAAGTAGTTTTGATTGCCAAGCTTCAACATAGAAATCTCGTCAGGCTTTTGGGATGTTGCATTGAAGGAGAGGAAAGAATGCTAATCTACGAATACCTACGGAATAAAAGTCTGGACTGTTTTGTTTTCGGTACAGCCTAATATACCCTCATTTAGTTGTTTTTTTCTTGAAAATTCCCCTCAGTTCAGTTCAATCGAATCTGTAAGAGCTTAAATCTCATAAGGTATTCAATCATGTGCAGATCAAAATCGAGGGAAAATTTTGACATGGCCTAAGAGTTTCGATATTATCATGGGAATCGCAAGGGGACTGTTGTACCTCCACCAGGATTCCAGATTGAAGATTATCCATCGAGATCTCAAAACGAGCAATATTCTACTAGATGCAAATTTAAATCCAAAAATTTCAGATTTTGGCTTAGCAAGAGCCTTTGGAGAAGATCAATCTATTGCTAGAACAAAACGAGTTGTCGGGACCTAGTAAGAGCTCTTTTATCTCAACAAAACATATTATTTTTTTTTAAAAAGACCATTGTGATTGAACTATTTATGCAGTGGGTATATGGCTCCGGAATACGCAATTGATGGGAAATTCTCGGTGAAGTCTGATGTATTTAGCTTGGGAGTGGTATTGTTAGAGATAGTGAGTGGGAGAAAGAACAAAGGTTTCAACAACTGTCATAACTATTATACCCTGTTGGGAAATGTAATATTTTTTCCCATCTACAAATACTAAAAAAAAGTTATCTATTTTAAAGACAAATTAAGGATCGTAATGTGTATTAATCTTGGCAGGCATGGTTGCTATGGAAAGAGGACAAGACTCTGGAGTTGATGGATGAAAGTTTAAACGAGACATTCGTCGAATCTCAAGTGAAAAGATGTGTACAAGTTGGGCTATTGTGTGTTCAGAAATTTGCAGAAGATAGGCCGGTTATGCCAGCTGTGGTTTTCATGTTGGGAACTGATGGAGCTGTTTTGCCTGAACCGAAAGAGCCTGCGTTTTTTTACGAGAGAAGTTCGAGCTCTGTAACAAGTGGTACATCGCCAAGTACGAAATCCGATAGTAACACAATGACTATTACTGATTTGGAGGCAAGATAGAGGAATTTTCGGACATACAATGCGTGGTTGAGTGATACCACTCCTATTCTTGATTGTGAGAGGTCCGAGGTTCAATCCCAGTGTGTGCGTGTCTGCGGGTATGTGTCTTGTATGTGTGTGTGTATATATATATATATAATTCTATGGTTAATGGTTATTTGGAGTCTTATAATAAATTAGTTTTGCTTTAAGTTTGTTCACATATCATTATGTAGTCTATAATTTGGAGGAACTTGAATGCATGTAACTACGGTTTTATAGATTTCCGAACGACTGGTAAAGCTCTCCAAACATGAGAAATTTCTTCAGTTAATGACTCTTTAAGTTATCGACATGTCCCTGATATTAACATTTTATTTTTGTGTCGACCACGTATAAATGCCCGAAAAACCTAATCACAATTTCGACTTCACAATCAGAATTTTTTGAATTACAATCTCACTTTCCGGGAACAAAGTTTGTGGCATAAGACCAAGCATTGTTGTTAACCGGGTCGGCTAGATGATCCGCAAGATTCTCCAACGGATACCCGTAACAATGGCTTGAACAAAGAATCCAAACATTGAGAACATTGCAAGTCTGCCGTTCTTGAGTTCCTTTACCTTGAGCTCCGCAAAAGCTTCCGGGTCCTCAGCAGGACCCAACGGGTCAAAACTTCCACCCGGGTACAACGGGTCCACCACTTCACCGAGGGGCCCACCGTCAATACGGTAGCCCTCAACGGCTCCCATCAGAAGCACTTGGGTCGCCCATATCGCCAAGATGCTTTGCGCGTGGACCAAACTCGGGTTGCCCAGATAGTCGAGCCCGCCCATACTGAAGATTTGCGACCCGGCTTTGAACCAAACGGCTTTGTGAATGAAGATTGAATTTGAGTAGTGTGATATGAAATTCCATGGTTGAGTGTGAAGAAGAAGATGTATGTAAAGACTTTTGACTGTATTTCTGTTAGTTATTGTGTAAAAGTCTGGTGAATATTAATTAGTTTTTTAAAAATTCAAATCGAGTGACGTGGAACTTTCCGAATCAACGGGTAAAATTCAAGGAATTTAGGATGGTGTAGTAAAAGGCCACTGGTATTTGTTATGTTAGCATCAGAGCAACAACCACGCACAAGGGAAATATTTTATGGCACTTTGCACCATCAAAACATGTTTAATCATTCAAAATGCACCTTAGTCTATTTTTCCGATTATAGTTTTCCGTCGTTGATTTAATTTATGATCGTCAACATGGTCTCTATTCAAATGTTTTTTTTTTCCTTCGGAGTACAAAATGCAAATGTATTTTTGAGCGAAAATGACTCAGTTAACAATCAGAAAATAGCTCAATGATGGAAATTCTAGCCGAAAAATAAAGTAGGGTGCACAACTTGAACGATTAAACATGTTTTGAGGGTGTACAATGCCATCAATTATTTCCGGGGTGGCAAAGTGCGAAAATGGTACATTTCGAGAGTGCAACGTGAATTTAAGCCGATTTGGATCTCACCATCAAGAATGAGATTGGTACCACTCACACACATTGTTGGTTAATCAAATACATACATACACATTAGTTACGAACTTACGACATATATCGAGTTAAAAGGATACAAGGGGTCATGTCCGAAACTCCTTTATCTCGCCTCCAAATCGGTATTAGTCATTGTGTTATTATCCGATTTCATACTTGGTGATGAAACACTTGTAATAGGGTTCAAACTCCTCTCGTAAAAAAACGCAGGCTCTTTCGGTTCAGGCAGAACAGCTCCATCAGTTCCCAACATGAAAAGCACAGACGACATAACCGGCCTATCTTCTGCAAATTTCTGAACGCACAATAGCCCGACTTGTACGCATCTTTTCAGTTCAGATTCGACGAATGTTTCGTTTAAACTTTCATCCATCAGCTCCATAAACTTGTCTTCTTTCCACAACAACCACGCCTGTCAAGATTAATACACATTAAAGATACTTAGTTTTCACTAAAATCGAAAGGTTTTTAGTATTTGTGGCTAGGAAAAAAGCATTACGTGTCCCAAAAGGGTATGACAGTTGTCATGGTTGTTAAAACCTCTGTTCTTTTTCCCACTCACTATCTCTAACAATACAACTCCGAAGCTGAATACATCAGACTTCACCGAGAATTTCCCATCGATTGCGTATTCTGGAGCCATATAACCACTGCATAAATAGTTCCGTCACAAGGGTCGTTTTGGAAAATAATAATGATATGTTTTGTTGAGATAAAAAAGAACTCTTACTATGTACCGACAACGCGTTTTGTTCTAACAATCGATTGGTCTTCTACAAAAGCCCTTGCTAAGCCGAAGTCTGCGATTTTTGGATTTAGATTTCCGTCTAGTAAAATATTGCTCGTTTTGAGATCCCTATGGATGATCTTTAATCTGGAATCCTGATGGAGGTAAAGCAGTCCTCTTGCGATTCCCATGATAATGTCAAAGCGCTTAGGCCATGTTAAAATTGCCCTTCGATTTTGATCTGCACATGATTCAATACCTTAAGAGATTTAAGCTCTTTCGGATTTGATTTACGAACAAAAAACAACTAAACGAGAGTATCTTAACATGTACCGAAAACAAAATAGTCGAGACTTTTATTCCGTAGGTATTCGTAGATTAGCATTCTTTCCTCTCCTTCAATGCAACATCCCAAAAGTCTGACAAGGTTTCTATGCTGAAGTTTGGCAATCGACGTAACTTCGTTTTTGAACTCTTCGAGACCCTGACTTGAAGATCTTGACAACCTTTTAACTGCTATTTCTTCTTCTCCCGACAAATTACCCTGTTTATGCATGGTGGTAGTAGTAAGAGTCAGAATGCCGATTTTTTTTATTTTTTTTTAATTTAATTAGCTTCTCCGATGTACGACCTTACCTTGTAAACAGGACCAAATCCTCCTTCTCCAATTATATTTTCTATGGTAAAAAAACAATAATAATGTCTCATGCTCGACACCAAATGCATGTTTATAACATGAATTCAAGATTATCTTTGTCCGATTTTATGGCAAAAGTAAAAAACTTTTGTTACCTCGTCTTTTTCGTCTTGTCATCAAAAGTATACCTCCATTCACAAAGCCCGAGACAAAAACTCCGGCTGCAATTGATATTACTATTATCTTTGCAGAGATTTTATTCTTCTCCTCCAAATTTGTGCTAGCCACTACAAATGGTGACACAAACTAATAATAATCAAGACTTCTGAATACTCGTACATAGAAAGAGAATATCAATAATTACCTATTTCTGAAGCTGGTAACCGAATGTAGATGATTTGCCTAATATCCGCAGCAAGATTTTCCCTAATATCAACGAGATCCCCAAACCACATCAAGCATCCATACCCTTCATTAGTTATGATTGGATTAGCATACGCAGTGCAATTACAGTTTCTTAAGCATCGAGCTCGACATTCACTAAGGCTCATGCTACTATTCAACCAATAATCCAACATATGAGGATATTTTGCCCGTTCAACCTCGAGAAACCCGTCTCCACCCTCGCAATTCAGTTCCCTAATTCTAGTGCATCCACCCGACCAATCTTGACTGTCCCAATCTTTTTGCAATTTCGGTGCAAACCCCTTGAAACACTCGCATATTACCGGTTTCTCGAATTTGCAGATGGCATTAGGACCACACGTACCGTATTCATCGCACGAATCTCGCGGATTAATACGTATCGAATCCCACTTGTCCGTTCTTGAATTCAGAGTATAGCGCTTGATTACACCGGATGACTCCAGTGTTAATCTGTAGTGATTTGAGCAGTGGGTGTTTGCTAGTACGGATATCAACCTTTCTTCCTTGAAAGCCACCACGGGTAAGCCTAAGCTATTCGGAAACGGCAGAAGGCCATCGAAATTGATCCCGTTCCATTTTCCAGTTCGAAACTTTTTCTTCGTGCCCCCGTAAAGCAAAACCATGTCGGACAATCCCTCGTTTTCGATCCTGAAAACAAAATCTCCAGGTGAAGGATCATCCCAATTTCTCCATGATGTCAAGTACTTGTCCAAACCACCTTCCACGTCATTCACCATCTTCATACCTGGCAGCCACGTGTCGGTCGGGTAATCGAAGCTCTGCCATATCCAAATTCCACTTGCATTGTCGATGATAACCAAATTCCCAGTGTCTAAGAGCTGTAACACCGGAATTGATGCCACCGATGAAGAATTCCCCGACGACCAAATTACGATTTCGCCCCTGCGTATAACTAGGGTTTGATTACTAACTACGGTTAAGACTACTCCTTGTGGCTCTGCTATAGGGGTGTTCCGATTCGCAACCCAGACTACGGTCTCCGGTGTGCTTTTATACCAAATCCCTAAGAAATAATTGCTGGATTTTCCCGGGGAGAAAAATCCGAGCTCGAAAATTAGGGTTTGTGAAATCAAAGTTTGCCCAACTGCAATCGATTGATCTGGGAAAAGTGTATCCATTCCAACACAGAATTTCAGTGGCGTGATTGAAAGAAGTAGCAGTAAAGAGAGGAATTGAGTGAAGAAGAAGAAGAAGAAATGCGCCATTTTTGAACCAGATTTCATCTCTGTGGAAATATATTTCGCTAACCACCATTTTTTCTATCTGCTACCATATATTATGAAGAAAAATCAAACATGAAGAAAATGTATCCCAAGTGTGAAACCAGATATGCATGGGTTGAAAATCAGAGAATGGAACTATTTCAATTCCATATTTTAATTTTAATTTGATTTTTTTTCTTCTAATCAAGTATTTTTAAATTGAAATTGAATACTTGCATACAGAATTTGGAATTCCATAGAATATTGCATTTTGGCGGGAATTAAGTTGGCGAAGTAAGCTCCACGTGACACACGCTTGAAAAATATTAATAGCTCTTTGCACCCCTGGAAATTTTTAATTGCATTATACACCCTCATAAGGTAATAATCATTCACATTGCACCTTATTGATGTTTTCGATTTTTGAAAATAATTTTAAATAGGGTTGGGTCGGTCAAATACCGGCCAAAAAACCAACCCATCCATAAAACCAATTTTACTCAATTTTGAAAATTATTGTCGACTCAACATTTGTGGGTCAGTTGATGGATGACAACTGAATATTTGGTTCCGAAATTGGTCAGTTGATGAGTATATTCAGGCACCTGGTTTACTTTTAAAAAAAATTAGTAAAAATATGCACATTCGACCTAGTGTCACTTGCTGTTATCATTTATCAGTTCAAAATAATATGAAATTCAAACTAATTCCAAACATGCTAATACTCAATTTCTGGTAAAAGATTTATGTTTCATTCCATAGCCACTTAAAAAAATTACACCCTTCATTTTATATTTTTTTTTAACGAAATTTATTAATATTGTTGGTTGACCGATAAGTTATCGGTCAACCGATTTTTGATAATTATGGAACCATCAACCTACCTACTATGAATGGGTGTTGGTAAAAAAATTCGACTCAATCCAATAGGTTGGTTGTTGGGTAAAAACCAACTCAATTCCAGTCATAATTCTAATCATTAAAGAAAAAACAATTAAATATGTATATTTACTATTAATAGCGAATAATAAAATAGAATTTCCCATTTATTATCAATTCATAACTCCCAAATTCATTTCCAATTGAATTGGAGTTTGAAAACCCTGATCAAAACCCCACATCTCTCATGCAAATTTTTATTTAAAAATATATATAAAAAATCGTGCATATCTTTCATGCAAAATTATTTTGCCAAATTACATATATATTCTCGCATAATCTACGAGGTGAGAAAATTATCGAGGGTTCAGTTTGGGAATAGGGGGTTAACATAATCACCGGACAATCGCCGGAAGAATCGTCAGAAGAAGAAGGCAATCAATGGAGGAGGAAGAGGTGTTGAAGGAAGCAAAACCGAAGCTGGAGGAGAAATACTCTGTTCGAATTTCGTTCTGCGCTCTTCGTCTCGCTATTCACGGCCTTCAATTCTTCGATTCCACCAAAACTTATCTCCGGTTGGTTATGATTATTTTCAATTTTTTTTTTTTTTTGTTGTTTTTGTATTTTTGATTCGATTTATGTTTCTAGTCATGTTTTAGGTTATCAGAATTTGTTTACTTGAAATTAATATTTTTTTTTTTTTGAGAGGAAGCAATCCCCGAAAAAGGTGTGGAAATTTTGGATGGAGCATGCAAGTTGGTGGTAAGCAAATTCAGAAACTGTGACCACGAGATTGAGTTCTACGAAAAGGCATACCGACTACGGCGAGCCCTTGTCGAATTACGTAGGGAAAGTTATCCGGAAACCCCATCGTGGGTGGATCGTGTGGTGTTGGAACGTGATTCTGCATCACTATACATAAACGATTTTTTAAATAGATGGAGCAACATTGTGAATGTGAATTCAATTGTTATGAATGAGAGCCGGTTGAAGGAATTAATTGCTGCACCCTGTAGTGGAGTGGCCGTTGCTCGGTTTCTGGACGATATACGACCCCGGCTAATTGAACTTTTCCAGTCTCTCTTGACAGTTAAGGCTTGTCATGTTGCTGAGGTCTCTCTCTCTCTCTCTCTCTCTCTCTCTCTCTCTCTCTCTCTCTGGAGCATGACTTTCTATCTTATTGACATTTTTCCCATTTTCATTTATTCTAAGTTTCCGCTCTCGTACATTTTATGTTAGCGACGCTTTGCGATGTGTAGGTGGTGAGCAGCAAGAGGCTGGTGAATCAAGAACGGGTGATTAATGAAATCTTCAAAACATTGGCCTTGCAAGAAAAGACGACTACTTCGCGCCCGAGGGATTTATTTTTCCTTTTGGGCTTTTCTGGAGCTGGTAAAACCGAGATTGCCAAGGATTTTGCACAACACTGGTATTGTGACGCTAGTCGACTCGTGGAGATAGATACATCAGAGTATGAGCTGGAACCAGCAGCTTGTGATTCATCTAAATGGTAGTTCATATACCCCTAAAATTTAATGGTTCGTTTAAAATTCTAGAACGGCTCGTTTTTGCGGATGGAGTTCGATAATTCTTGAGGGAGCATTTGTGGAAGACGCCTTACATATTGCACGTTTTTTCCGTGCATTGTGATTTTCACTTTATTAAACGATCAGGAATCACTTTATTTACGTGTAGTTCTCACTGTAGTGAAGCCTAATAATATTCTCTTATTAGGTTGTTCTTAATATAAATCACGAAATACCTATGTTTTTCCCGAATAGTTTTTTTTTTTTTCGACTTTGAGCAAAAAAAAATTCAAAATTGGCCAATACGGAAGCAGGAGCTGGCTAGCACAACAGCTCTAACTGCGAGTTAAATTGTAATTAGTTAGTTAGTTAAATAAGGCTCTAAATTACCAGAATATATTTTGTCTTGCAAAACTGCATTTTTTTTTTCTATCGACCATCTAACATCGTAAAGCTCATCTCATTTGACGATGTTGCTGTGTTTGAGCTCGTTGAAGTTTCGATTTTGGACGTATCTCTTCCTGTGAAAAAACCGGGATGCTTTGCTTCAGGCAGGACACATTCGTTGCTCAGCATGAACACTACTGTAGACATGTTTGGCCTATCTTCGGGGCGTTCTTGCACGCATAAAAGACCGACTTCGATTGATCGGAGCACTTCTCGTAAATAGCCTGAATTTATTAGGTAAGAATCAACCAATTCGAGTGACCTTTCTTCTCTATGTAGCATCCATGCCTGTTGTATTTACATATATTAGAACAACTATTTTGATTTCGAAATAAAAGATTGTTTTATGAAGTTTGTCGAGTAATGACGACAACTTACGTGTCCGAGAAGGTTGAGCCTGTGATCTCTATGAGAAAATCCTCTGTTTCTCTTACCACTGACGATTTCGAGAACCAGAACACCGAAGCTAAAAACATCCGATTTCACCGAGAACACACCGTCGATCGCGTATTCCGGAGACATATAGCCGCTACAAAAAAAAAGGGAGTGGTGATGTGTAATGAATCAAGAATAGTATGTAATAATACTAAAAATGTAAGTGAAAAATTGTACGTACTAAGTTCCGACTACTCGGCTTGTGTTGGCTCCTGTCTCGTTTCCTCCAAAAGTTCTAGCAAGTCCAAAGTCCGATATCTTAGGATTCATATCGGAATCTAGTAAGATATTGCTTGCTTTGAGGTCTCTGTGTATAACTCTAAGACGAGAATCTTGATGTAGATACATAAGTCCCCGTGCAATACCGTTAATAATATTGAAGCGTCTCGGCCAATCCAGTAACATGGTTTTCCTCGGATCTTCCCAATAAGTGACAACGTATTTAATTTAGTCGTAACAATTTTTCTGGAACTATTAATCGAGTGGGTTAGCGTAATTGAGGAATTCTTACCAAATAGTATTAAGTCGAGACTTTTGTTGGTCATGTATTCGTAAACCAACAACTTTTCTTCTCCTTCGATGCAGCATCCGAGAAGCTTAACCAGATTTCGGTGCTGAAGTTTCGCGATGCAGTTGACTTCGTTCTTGAACTCGTGTACTCCTTGAAGTGAAGTTCTTGATAGTCGTTTTACAGCAACTTCCTGTCCGTCTTCTAGAAGGCCCTAATATCGAATGTACTTATGTATCAGTTATTTTCAATAACATTAAAATTTTATGCTGTCGTTTTTCATTTTCGTTTGGAGATGAAGTTCCTCAGATGATTTACACGGGATTTAATTGAGGATTAGAGTTGGATAAATTAAAGTATTACGTACCGTAAGTTTATAAATCGAATACGTCTTTACCTTATAAACAGGTCCGAATCCACCCTCTCCGAGCTTATTGCCGATCGAGAAATTTTCAGTAACTTCAATTAGTGTGGCCAAGTCATACTGTGGTATTTCCAGGTCCAAGTTACGACTTATGTCGGGGTGATCGTACACATAGTCGAGACTCGCCCTACCTGAAAAAGAAGGTGTAAAGTAGATAAAATGAAGAGAAGGCATAAGCATTATATACACGAGCATCGTCTTTTTTAACGCTCACGTAATAATTTATGTCGTTTACCTGTTTCTTGCAGCTGAAGATCGAGCTTCCTCCATTTCAGACAATAAAGCACCAGGCTCAGGCTTAGCAGAACTATCCCGATTGCGAGGGCCAATATAACTGCAAGTATTGCTCGTTTACTTTCTGCCGAATCTGCAGAATGATTTGTTAGTACATCACGATTTCAAAGGTAATATGCTAGTACATCACGGTTTTTTTTGGGAACGAATTCTTACCTAACTCAGACGAAGCCATCCTTATGTGGATATCTTGTCCTGGAGACAACTCTTTGATGTCGACAAGGTCACCATACCAAAGTAGGCATCCGTTTCCGATTCCGCCCTTGCTTATATCTAGACTTGTATAAGCCATACACGAGCAATTCTTCGAACACATTAACTTGCATTCGTCAAGATTCATACTCTCGTTATACCACGAAAGCCGAGTATCCGGCAATTTAACTCCCGAATACTTCACAAACCCGTCTCCCTTCACACAGTTCAACGACGTGCTTCTAACACACCCATTCGACCAATCCCCTCTTTCCCAACCTTGAGGATCTTTTGGTTTGAATTTCTTCAAACATCCACAAACAGGAGAATTTTCAATATTGCAACTACCATAGGGCCCGCAGTTTTTGTAAAGATCGCAATTATCTGTCGGTGCCGTAAGATAAACGTGCCAATCTTGAGTTCCATCTACCCATATCAACCTCTCACAAACCCCGTTTTTGTTCAACGTAAACCTTGATATAACCGAGTTGTTGAGTAGCTCGTAGTGGTAGTACACCTCGTGCTCGTTTATGACCACTCCGTACGTATAAATCGAATTCTTACGCAAATTCGGATTCCCGCTAAAGCCGATGCCATTCCACGGTCCGGTTCTATAAATGACGGTTTCGCCCTTTCTAACGATGTCTTGCGGATAGCCAGTCGGATCACAAGTGAACGTATACTCCCCCGTTGCTAAATCGGTATTGCTCTTACGTGACGAAATATGCACTTCTACATTAGTGACGAAGTTTCTACCGATCTTCATTCCCGGTAGTAGAGTGTCGGTCGGATGATCGAAGCTCTGCCAGAGAAAAATATCGGGATTGTCCTCGTCCGCGTCTTTAACTACGAGATTGCCCGAGTCGAGTAACTGCGCGATTGGATTCTGCACGGTTCTCGATGCATTGGTTGACCAAACAGTGGCATTGGTATTGTTGTTTAGTAGAACCAGAATCCCTGGTTCGATGAGTCTCATCGAACCAGAGGTGTCTGTGAGTGGAGTTTCCGTGTTTGCAACCCAAACTACAGTTCGTACGGTTACTACTCTCTTGTACCATATGCCTACGTATCGATTGGTGGAGTTTGCTGGAGTGAAGAAGCCGAGCTCGAAGCTTTCACCGGCCGAAACTATTGTACTGCCGTCGTCGATGAATGTATGAGAAGTGTCTATGGTGTCCGTTGCCGCTTCGTACATTTCACGTCCGGACAATAACGAAGCCGTAATAACTAGTAAACCGATACCGCATCGACGGCGTATCGTATACATCGTTGTGGTTCGATATGTCGACTACAACACAAAGAGGAGAAGCTACACAGATAGCCAGTTGTGATTTTTTATTACAAGTACTTGTTAATTTTGTTGTCTCTTTCCCAAAATGTAGTGATAGAGAATTTGCTATTGCTAATCCATAGACGTGCTTTGAAATTTCTAAGGCAATGAGTAGAACAAGACAAGGGTATTGTTTGACCTGTAATATTTGAAGTCAAAGTCTTGATGCCACTTAAATTTTCCACCAATAAGTGATCCAAATTATTTAATTTAGTCGTCGTCGTTCGTATTAGTAGGTCGGTAATTTTTTCGGCCGATAATTTTGTTGTCGGGCCGGTAATTTTAACCGTCGGTCTGTGGTTTTTCAATTTACTTGAAAGTCGGTTTGGTCAGGTAATATCGGCCAACTTACTTTTTTTTAATAATAAAAAATTAATTGTGATTCTTATTCTCTTAACGTTCGAAATAATATATATAAAAGAAGTCAAAACTCGAAACACAAATTTATAGAATGTGTGTGTTTTTTCTCTTGTTGCATTTAGTCCCAATAGAAAGGAGTTAATTTAGAGAGCTGTGAAGTATTCTGATCTAGAAGGTTTGATTTTAGAAAAGATGTTGACCAAATATACTGTTGACTTTTGATGATTTTTGAATAGTATCTGTTGCTTCTTATAAGTTGTGAGGCCTCCATAGATTAAAAATTAATTACATAACACTCCCTAAAGTAGTGAGATTAAATAAGACTTTTTTTTTTTTTTTAATTTTTTTATTTCTGATATATACCCCTAAAAATTAATGGTTCGTTTAAATTTTTCGAATGGTTCGTTTTTGCGGATCGAGTTCGATAATTCTCGAGTGCGAATGTTCACAGGTCGTTGATGCTGTTACGGCTGGGGATTCTTCGTTATCATCTTTTGGAGCATTTGTGGAAGACGCCGTTCTCGTTTTTTCATGCATTGTGATTTTCAATTTACTAAATGATCAGGAATCACTTTATTTAACCATCGTTCTAAAAAAAAACTAACTAGCATGTCTAAATTACGAATACGGAGCAACAAACATTGTCTTGCAAACATTTACGTCACTTGGCCTGGATCATGATCAATAACTGTGTTTGATTCTTCAGAATGTCGAAACAGATCCATAAAAAAACGATATATAGCTGAAATGAAAACGTGTCGGATCAGACGAGACGCGAATTGAAATAAGGTAAGAATCAACCAATTCCAGTGATCTTTCTTCTCTATTTAGCATCCATGCCTGTTGAGTAATAACTGACATTAGTAACTTACTACTTTGATTTGAAAATAAACGATATTTTTTTGAAGTTTGTCGAGTAATAACGACAACGTAACTTACATATCCGAGAAGGTTGAGTCTGTGGTCTCTATGAGAAAATCCTCTGTTTCTTTTACCACTGACGATCTCAAGAACCAGAACACCGAAGCTAAAAACATCCAATTTCACCGAGAACACACCGTCTATCGCGTATTCCGGAGACATATAGCCGCTAAAAAAAGAAAAAAAAACGGTGATGTGTAATGAATTAAGAATAGTATGTAATAATACTAAAAATGTAAGCGTGAGGAATTATACGTACTAAAAATTTAATTTGTTCTTTACCTTATAAAAGGGTCCGAATCCACCCTCTCCGAGCTTGTTTTCGATTGAGAAATTTTCCGTAACATCAATTAGTGTGGGCAAGTCATACTGTGGTATCTCCAAGTCGTTGTTACGACTTATATCAGGATGATCGTCCACATAATCAAGTCTCGTCCTGCCTGATTAAAAAAATATAGTATAATACATTAAAAGTAGAGAAAATAAACTAACTGTTATCTCTCTTTACCTGTTTCTTGCAGCTGATTATCGAGCTTCTTCCGTTTCCGACAACAAAGCATCAGGCTCAGGCTTAGCAGAACTATCCCGATTACGAGGGCCAATATCGCTGCGAGTATTGCTCGTTTACTTTGTCTTGAAGCTGCAGAATTGTTTCTTAGTATTCCACAATTTCTCGAAAGATCCGTTTTTTTTTTCTCGAAAGAATTCTTACCTAACTCAGACGAAGCCACCCGAATGTGGATATCTTGTCCCGGGGACCGGTCTCGTATATCGACAAGGTCACCAAACCAAAGTAGGCATCCACTTCCGATTCCGCCCCTGCTTATATCGAGACTCGTATAAGCCATGCACGAGCAATTCTTCGAGCACAACAACTTGAATTCTTCAAGATTCATACTCTCGTTATACCACGAAAAATTCCGAGTGTCCGGCAATTTCACGCCCGAATACATCAAAAACCCGTCCCCCTTGGCACAATTCAACGACGTGCTTCTGACGCATCCGTTCGACCAATCCCCTTTCTCCATCCTTGAGGATCTTTCGGTTTGAATTTCTTCAAACACCCGCAAACCGGAGAATGCTCGACGTTACAACTATCGTAGGGCCCGCAGTTTTCGTAATGATCACAGTTATCCGTCGGCACGGTAAGGTAAACGGCCCACTCTTGTTTCCCGTCGACCCACGTCGACCTCTGACAAAGCCCGTTTTCGTTCAACGTAAACCTCGATATCACCGAGTTGTTGATCAGCTCGTAGTGGTAGTACACCTCGTTCTTGCTTATGACCAATCCGTACGTGAAAATCGGATCCTTACGCAAATTCGGATTCCCGCTAAAGCCGATGCCATCCCACGGTCCGGTTCTGTAAATGACGCTTTCGCCCTTTTTAAGGATGTTTTGCGGATAGCCAGTCGGATCGCAGTGAAATGTATACTCGCCTTTTGCGGGATCGCTAATGCTCTTTTGTGACGACATGTATACTTCCAAACCAGTGACGAAGTTCTTGCCGAGCTTCATACCTGGTAAAAGAGTGTCGGTCGGATGATCGAAACTCTGCCAAAGAAAACTCTCGGGATCATCGTTCGCGTCTTTGATTATATTACGAGATTCCCCGAGTCGAGTAACTGCGCAATGGGATTCTGCACGGTTCTCGACGTATTAGTAGACCAAATAGTACCGTTAGTATCATTTACAAGAACTAGAATCCCTGGTTCTACGACTTTCATCGTACCTGATGTATTCGTGAGTGGAATTTCTCTGTTGGCTACCCACACTACAGTGTGTACAGTTACTTTCTTGTACCATATGCCCACGTATCGATTATCGGAATTCGCGGGGTGGAAAAATCCCAACTCGAAGCTTCCACCGGCCGAAATCAGCGTCTCGCCGTTATCTCGAAATACCCGAGAAGTGTTTATTGTATCTGTTGCTGCTTCGTACATTTCATGACTGGACAATAAAGACGCTGTAATAATCAGAAAACCAATACCGTATTCACGAAGTATGGTATACATGGTTGTGATACAGAAAAAGAAGAAGCTAAACATATAGCCAGTTGTGATTTTTATTAGCAAGTACTTATAATATATTGTTGTCTCTTTCTTACTGTGGTCCCCAAAATGAGGTGCATGTTTGTAGTTTTGTTGACTATCGGTATATGGTTGTGATGAAAGAAAACCCGTCTTTGCCAATCTGCTAACGTGTTTATTGAAATTTCTTTGTGGCGTGTAATACGGTTCTGTCGTTTTTTATTATGATGGAGACAGTTTGAAAAGGATTTCAAGAACGAGGCGATGGTATTGACCTGTAATATCTAAGTCACAGTGTCTGGATCTTTTTACGAAGTTACGCCGTGCTTTGGCTAAGGCTTTGTTTGTGGAGTGAAATTCGGTATTGACTTCGACTCAAAATTTTATATAACTACGTAGTTGAATTGGTTCGATTAAAACTGTTCAAGGTGCAGAAGATTTAAGTGTCGGAATAGAAGAGACGCGAAACGGAAATTACGGTTGTCATAACATTTTTTTTTCTATCGACCGTCTAACAGCGTGATTGTGATTTCATTTACGGAGGTTGCTGTGGTTGCCGTGTTTGAGCTCGTTGAAGTTTCGACTATCGACATCTCTCTTCCCGTGAAAAAACCGGGATGTTTGGCTTCAGGCAGGACGCCTTCATTGCTCAGCATCGATACTACCGTAGACATGTTCGGCCTATCTTCGGGGGATTCTTGCACGCACAAAAGACCGACTTCGATTGATCTAATCACTTCTCGTAAATATCCTGAATTTACGAGGTAAGACGAACCAGCCAATTCCACTGTCCTTTCTTCCCTGTGTAGCATCCACGCCTGTCGTGTAATAACCGACATTAGTAACCGACTACTTTGATTTGAAAATAACCGATTGTTTTTTTTTTTTTTTCAAGTTTGTCGAGTAATACCGACAATTTAACTTACGTGCCCGAGAAGGTTGAGCCGGTGATCTCGATGAGAAAATCCTCTATTTCTCTTACCGCTGACGATCTCGAGAACCAGAACGCCGAAGCTAAAAACATCCGATTTCACCGAGAACACACCGTCGATCGCGTATTCCGGAGACATATAGCCGCTAAAAAAAAAAAAAAGAAAAGGGTGACGCGTAATGAATTAAGAAAAGTATGTAATAATACTAAAAATGTACGCGTGAAGAATTGTACGTACTAAGTTCCAACTACACGGCTTGTGTTGGCTCCCGTCTCGTTTCCTCCAAAAGTTCTAGCAAGTCCAAAGTCCGATATTTTAGGGTTCATATCGGAATCAAGTAAGATATTGCTTGCTTTGAGGTCTCTGTGTACAACTCGTAGTCGGGAATCTTGATGTAGATACATTAATCCCCGAGCAATGCCGTTTATAATGTTGAATCTCATAGGCCAATCCAGTAGTTTGCTTTTCGTCGGATCTTCCAAATAACCGACAACGAATTTTTTTGAACTATATAGATATGGAATTCATACACCTTATTAAAGTGCGATAATCGAGTAGGTGAGGAATACTTACGGAAAAGTATCAAGTCGAGACTTTTGTTGGTCAAGTATTCGTAAACGAGAATCTTTTCTTCGCCTTCGATGCAGCATCCTAGAAGCTTCACTAGGTTACGATGCTGAAGCTTTGCGATGCAGTTGACTTCATTCTTCAACTCGTTTACTCCTTGAACGGAAGTTTTCGATAGTCGTTTTACGGCAACTTCCTGTCCATCTTCTAGAAGCCCCTAGTATCGAATTTTACGTGTATGTAACATGTGTTTTTCAATGTAAATATGTTAAATTTTTTAAATATATTTTACCTTATAAACAGGTCCGAATCCACCCTCTCCGAGCTTATTGCCGATTGAAAAATTATCGGTAACTTCAATTAGTGTCGGTAAGTCATACTGCGGTATTTCGAGGTCCAAGTTACGACTTACGTCGGGACGATAGTCCACGTAGTCGAGCCTCGCGTTGCCTGATAAAGAAGATATATTATAATAATAAATTATAGTAGTTAGCTCACACAAATATAACTCGTACCCGTTTTTTGCAGCTGACGATCGAGTTTCTTCCGTTTCCGACAATAAATCACCAGGCTCAGGCTTAGCAGAACCACCGCAATTACGAGGCTCGATACCACTGCAAGTATTTCTCGTTTGCTTTCTCCCGATTCTGCGAAATTTATTTAACTGCATTCTTACTTTTCCGTGTTCGATCGAAAAACGAAAAAAAAAAAAAACGGAACAATCGTAGTACCTAATTCAGACGAAGCCATCCTTACGTGGATATCTTGTCCTGGAGAGAGCTCTCTGATGTCGACAAGGTCGCCAAACCAAAGTAGGCATCCGTTTCCGATTCGGCCCCTGCTTATATCGAGACTCGTATAAGCCATACACGAGCAATTCTTCGAGCACAACAACTTGCATTCGTCAAGATTCATGCTCTCGTTATACCACGTAAAATTCCGAGTATCCGGCAGTTTCACGCCCGAATACTTCAAAAACCCGTCTCCCTTCGCGCAATTCAACGGCGCGCTTCTAACGCACCCGTTCGACCAATCCCCCCTTTTCCAGCCTTGAGGATCCTTTGGTTTGAATTTCTCCAAACACCCGCAAACAGGGGAATGCTCGACATTGCAACTACCGTAGGGCCCACAGTTTTCGTAAAGATCGCAATTATCCGTCGGTGCGGTAAGATAAACTCGCCAGCCTTGAGTTCCATCTACCCATGTCCACCTCTCACAAACCCCGTTTTCGTTCAATGTCAACCTCGATATAACCGAGTTGTTGAGTAGCTCGTAGTGATAGTATACCTCATTCTTGTTTATGACCATTCCGTACGTGTAAATAGAATTCTTACGCAAATTCGGAGTCCCGCTAAACCCGATCCCATTCCACGGCCCTGTTCTGTAAGTGACCGTTTCGCCCTTTTTAAGGATGTTCTGTGGATAGCCGGTGGGGTCACAGTTGTACGTATACTCTCCCGTCGCTAAATCGGTATCGCTCTTTCGCGACGAAATGTGGACTTGTACATTAGTGACGAAGTTCTTGCCGAGCTTCATGCCAGGTAGTAGAGTGTCGGTCGGATGATCGAAGCTCTGCCAGAGAAATATCTCGGGATTCTCCTCGTCCGCGTCTTTAACCACGAGGTTGCCCGAGTCGAGTAACTGCGCGATTGGATTCTGCACGGTCCTCGATGCGTTGGTTGACCAAACGATGGCGTTGGTATTGTTGTTTAGTAGAACCAGAATCCCGGGTTCGATGAGGCTCATCGAACCGGAAGATGTGTTTGTGAGCGGAGTTTCGGTGTTGGCTATCCACACTACAGTTCGTACGGTTACGACTCTCTTATACCATATGCCCACGTATCGGTTATCGGAATTTTCCGGGCTGAAAAATCCCAGCTCGAAGCTTCCTCCGGACGAAACTATCGTGTCGCCGTTGTCGATGAATGTCTGAGAAGTGTTTATCGTATCCGTAGCTGCTTCGGATATTCCGTGACCGGAAAATAAGAAAACTGTAATAATAATAATTAGGTACGCGAATGCTGTACTACTACTACTACTATTACTACTATTACTACTATTCATGGTTCTGGTTCGATATTTGGAGTAGTATACGGAGAGACGAGAAGCTAAAAACGTATAGGGAAAGTGCGATATTTATTAGCAAGTTCTTACGAATTTTTTTCGTCGTTTTTTTCGTTATGGTGGTCCTTAGATGGGTTTACGTAGTTGTAGTTTCTTGACTATGTGTGTGTGTGTGGGGTTAGTAGCAGTGTAGCAGATTTCTAAATTTGTGTCTTTTTTCGTATAGTTGAGGCAGTTTGAAAAGGATTTCGAGAACGAGACAATAACTATTGACCCGATTTTGTCTCTCTCTTAAGTCATCGTCGACATCTGTTCGGGACAAAACCGGTGCTATATCCGTCGAATGCGAGTCATTGGTATTTTTTTCTGTAAGGCTACTGAATTTTGTTATTGTATTTTTTTTGAGATAAAAAGTGATAAGTGTTGTAGTTAGTGTAAAGAGTTTCAATTAGCTTATGAATTGCAATATACCTTAAATAACAAAACATTGAACATATTTTATAGTACTAAAGGGTAAACAGCACTTTGCCATGTGATCTTCGGCTCGTTTTGCGCTTTGCTGCCTTAATAAAAAATGTTGCACGACGACATCTGAACTCGATTTCAGCCATAGATGAATTGAAGGAGAACAAATTGAGTTCAAGATTTAATTAATGGTTGAGATTTTTTTTTGGGCTAATCAAGTTTATAAGGGGTTAGATGCTACACCCAGTTATTTACACTATGTAGATTTGAACTGTATATTTGATTAAATAACTACCCATTAAGCACACATACACGTGGGTGTGTTTGTAATACTGTAATTATGTATAAATTTGTGATTTAAATCCACCAAATATAAATAACGGGATGTAACATCCAATTTCCCTTTTATAAGGCAATGTAGCATAAAAAATCTAGTTCGTGCAACTATTTTTTTTATTAAGATGGTAAATCGCAAAACGGGCCAAAGTTCAGGTGGGCAAAGTGCTATGAAATAAAGAGTTATTAAACCAGACACATAGTAAATCTAATACAACATCATTAATTTGTTCTAGATTTTTTTTTTTTTTTTTTTTTTTTTTTCCATTTTTCCACATTCCACGTAAGAATGGAATCTTTTTTTTTTTTTTTTCTAATAAGTCGGCTCTTTTATTTGTTATGTCACTTTCGTAAATAACCTAGTGAGATTGGGTATTGACCTTGACTCAATAAATGTTAACCAACAAATAATATTGTACCTACATCACAAATTACTATTATTAATATCTCCGAAAAATAATATTACATTAATCATGTAATATTACTTTTTTTTTTCTCATTTTTTTCTTTACAATATTTTTTTATCTACCCTCCGGCATTGTGATGGTGACGTCATTCGTCGAACTTGCGGGATTTGTGCTAGTCGAGCTTTGACCGGCAAGAACATCTCTCTCCATGAAAAAACCGGGCTGCTTCGCTTGAGCTAACACGCCTTCGTTTCCCAACATCAAAACCACGGACGACATGTTCGGCCTATCTTCGACGTTTTGTTGCACGCACAACAAAGCAACGTGAATCGATCTCGTCACTTCCGCCAAGTAAAACGAGTCTCCTATAGAAGAGTCCACTAGATCTATCGATCTCCCTTCTTTATAGAGCGTCCACGCCTGTCAAAAATTGGTAGACACTATGAAAGACGTTTTTACCCCTATATTCTTAATCGAATAATTTGGAGAGCTAATTAGGAGAGCTGATACTTAACTTCTACGACTAGAATAGAAGACTAGGGGTTCAAATCCCGCCTCTCCCGTATTATCCCAATTCGTAACAAGATTTGAAAATTTTAAATAAAGATAAATAATAATACTTCATCCGTTCCACAATATCTGTCACTTTTAAGATTTTTTTTTTCAATATTATCTATCACTTTAGAATTCCAACAATACATTAATTACATATTTTTCAATCATGCCCTCTTCAGCACTCTCTATGCATTAGTTAATAAATAAGGGTATTTTGGCCTAACTATCTATTTTTCTAAAATCAAGACGTGTTTATTGAGTTCCTCAAGATTTGTGCAAATGTGAAAAACGACTATTATTTAGGAACGGAGGGAGTAGTAGATTAAAACTTACGTGTCCAAGAAGGTTGAGATTGCTATCGCTGTGCGAAAATCCTCGATTTCTCTTGCCACTCACGATTTCGAGCACTAGGACGCCAAAGCTAAACACGTCCGATTTTATTGAGAATAGGCCGTCTATCGCATATTCCGGAGACATGTAACCACTGCAAATCGGAGTAGTAATTTTGATTTTTTTAACGTTAAAAACGGAAAATAGTTACTAAATATTAAATGATTCAAAATCAGACTTTCTGTTAAACTAGTTTGATGCTTACTATGTTCCAACAACACGGCGAGTCTTAGCTTCAGTCTCGTTCCCGCCAAAACTTCTCGCCATTCCAAAATCAGAAATCTTCGGATTCATTTCGGAATCTAGTAATATATTGCTCGCTTTTAGGTCTCGATGGATAATCCTTAATCGAGAATCTTGATGGAGATACAATAGTCCCCTAGCAATTCCGTTGATTATACTGAAGCGCGTTTCCCAACTAAGCAACGTGCTCTTTTTCGGATCTGTCGAAACATTGTTTAATCAGTTCCGAAATAATCTAGTGTAGGTAGAAGTTACACTTTTAGTTTTAGGTTAAAAAAAAAGAAAAACTACCAAATAACATAATATCGAGGCTTTTGTTGGGCATATATTCGTAAATCAACATATTTTCGTCTCCTTCGATGCAACATCCGAGTAACCTGACCAGATTCCGATGTTGAAGCTTTGCAATAAAAATGACTTCGTTCTTGAACTCGTCCTGCCCTTGCATCGAGTCTTTCGATAATCGCTTCACAGCAATTTCTTGTCCCTCTTCCAAAATGCCCTATATCGTATCGTTCGTACGAAAGTTACAATTATTTTCCAAAATTGAAGCATATCCCTACGTTCTTGATCTCGTGTTAAATTAAAATAAATTACCTTATAAACAGGACCGAATCCACCCTCTCCGAGCTTATTACCGAGTGAGAAGTCATTAGTAGCTTTCGAAATTACAGATAAATCGAACAACGGTAGCTCCGAGTCTGTGTCACGGCTTCCGTAAATATTAACTACAAAAAAATCCGATTTTTTTTTTGAAGAATATTAATTTCTCGTTCTTTCCGTATATATCAATCAAATTAAACCTGCTCGTTTTTCGTACCTTCTTTTTCAATCTTTCGAACATTCTTCCTCTTTCGAATAAATAGAAAGACGATCGAGCATGTAATAAGTATTACTCCCGTCACGGATGCCAAACTAACAATTAGAACTACTTTGTTCCCTCCTTTAGAACCTGCAAAATTATTAATTAGTGCTAATTAAACTTCAATTATGTATGTAATTAATGTATCAAGATTGTAACTAATGGAAATTATTAGTGTACTCGATTCGGAAGAAGCCATTCGAATGTATATATCCTGTCCGTCGGGAGACAAGCTTCTAATGTCGACCAAATCCTCGTACCAAACCAAGCACCCAATCCGCTTAGTCACATCCAACTGCATGTACGCCGTACAATTACAATTCCTCAAGCACTCGACCCTGCATTCCTCGAGCGTCATGCTCATATTAGACCACGAAGACGTGGCGTCGGGCAATTTTATACGCTCGTATTTCAAGAAAACATCTCCCCGGCAACTCAAATTACTCCTCCTCACGCAACCGTCCGACCAATCAGCTCCAACCCAATTGTCGTAATTCCTAGGGGTAAATCTGTCCAAGCACCCGCACGACGGTGAATTCCCGGTAGTGCAAATACCGTAGGGCCCGCAGAGACCGTAAGTATCGCATATATCGCCCGGCAAGTTCAAGTACACCACCCACTCCTGCCTCCGGTCGACCCAGGTCCATCTCTGGGCGAGCCCGGTGGGGCTCACCGTGAACCGCGAGATGACCGACCGGTCGATGGCGTCCTCGCGGTAGGTCACCTCGTTGTCGTCCATCACGAAAGTCAACTTGTAGGTGGGGTCCTCTCTGGGGTTGCCGGCCCCACTGAACCCGGCCCCCCATATCCAGGGCCCCGCTCTATACAATGCCGCGGATGCGCCCCTTCTGATGAATACCTGCGGGTAGCCGGTTGGATCGAGGTGGTAACTGTACTCACCTGCAATAATCAGTAGCGAATCCATGATTTTAGTCAAGGGTGTTCTGAT